TGCTGTAGTGTTTTCTTCTTACAAATAATTTTTGAATTCAAAAGGTTTCTACTAATAATTTTCTCACAAAATTTTCATCAATAAATAAGAATTACCAATTTAAATGTGTGAAACAAACGAGACCGTATTTACACCGAAATAAATTACTTACCCAACATCATTGGTAACAAAGTAAAAGTAAACATGCTATTAAGATATATTTTTGTAAAATAAAATATTTCATGATCGGATGTCTACATCCACATCTTTATCATCCATATACAATAGGTAGAAATTTGAATCCCGTACCCATTTGGACCAAAACGACACCATTTCGGTCGAAATTCCCCGCCCTTTCTTTTTCAAGTCCTTTATTTTATTTTATTTTTTATTTTTTTATCTTAAAATTTATTTATTTTTTTAATTGTGTCTTTTTTTACCCTTTTTTTATTTTTGTTCTGAATTTTTTTCTTTTATTATTTTCGTTCCTTTTATCCTAAAATTTGTTTATTTCTTCTTTAGCATTTTTTAATTATTTTTCTTTATTTTTGTCCTAAAATTTTACTTTGTTTTTTATTTTAATTTTTTTTTGTCGTAAAACTTATTTATTTATTCATTTTATTCCTTTTCTGAACTTTTTTTATTTTAATTTTGAAATTTTATTTTATTTTTTTTTCATTTTGGTCCATTTTGTATTAAAAATTATAAAACTCATTTATTCTTCATTCTAGTCGTTTTTTGATTCCATTTGTTTAATGTTCGCCCTACGACTTTATCTTTTTGTTATCTCTTTTACCTTAAAACTTATTTATTTTTTCATTTTAGACCTTTTTTTTCTTCTTTAGCTAAAAATTTATTTCTTTTCATTGTTTTCCTTTTTTGAGATTTTAAATTCTGATTTTATATGCTTTTAATAGTAATACAATAATTAAAATTTAACACATAGATTATATGTGAGCACATGGAGTCTAACTAATATATATACAAAATCTCATTATTCGGTTCAGATCAAGCTATCGTACTACTTATTTGGAATTTAAAAATAGCCATTGTACTATAATCACATAAAATAAATACGTTTTCTTTCCCTCATTCAGACAATTCCAAAATTACTGAAAACAATTAAAGAAATTATGATAATTCAAGCACAACCAAAAACTTAAACATATATATGATATAAAAACTCTTAAAGAAACCTAGAAACTCAAAACGTTGGGGTAGGACTTTATTTCAAGTGTTATATCTGTTCAGTTTACATAATTATTTTTATTTTGATTGATTTTAGTCATATCTTACTTCAAAAAATGCACAATCAGTAGATATACTCCAGCATAAAAAGGTCTTAAAAAATGACGACGTTAATTATTTGGCGGATCGTTTTCTTGAGCTTTTTCCAAAAGAAAAAAGTAACAATAATAATAATAATAATAATTATTATTATTATTATGACAACGACGACGACAATATGAAGAAGGGTAAGAGTAAATTGTGTTGTTAAACCCCCATGGTCTAAACTATTCGTTTTTAATAATGGACCTCACATTTTTAATTTTGACAAAATGCACTATAAATTTTAAAATCAGTTACAATTGACGTTTAATAATTGATGATGTTATAAAAATTGACCATTCGAGACACGAGATTTACACGTGATAAATGCATGATTTGAAAAATGTCGATCTTTATCTTAAATGTGCGAATCCCATGTACATTCCTCAGTTATTGGACTTTAATTGCTATTAATTTTAAAGCTCATAATGCATTTTACTAAAATTGAAAGTTTAAAATAACTTATGTAAAAAAACAAAAACAAAAAATTTGGTATAAAATAGTGCAATTTACTGTATTAATAATAAAGGATATAATATCCACACCCCTATATTTATTAAGACACCCATTTCTTAATTAATTTTTGTGAATACATATCTACCTTTTAAGTGAAAGGATATAACATCCATCTTATATCCATACAAATTTTCTCCTTTCTTTTTGAGAATTTAATTTGTCTAAATACCCAATATGTCTTGCGAATCACATTCATCACAACAATTTCTCCCCCAAACTCGATCAATAAATTTAGGTCCTGTTTGTGTTTCGTTAGTTCGAATCAGAACTCAAATTTTTACAGCAGTGTTTTTTCACAAAAATTCAAATTCACTTTTTAATTTAATTTTTTAACTTGAATGAGTGAAATAAATGGGGTTAGCTTTTCAGAATCTTATCAATTTTCTAAACCATTGCAGTCTGAAGAACTGAATAACTGCTGGTAAGATGAAGTAATCTCTTCAAAAGCATCTTCTCCTCAAACTCACTCTCTTTGGATTCTTCATATGATAATTCCATGTTGACTTCCCTATCTTCATGCGAGGGGATGAATGAATACTGAAGTCACAATTGCAACTTTTGTTATATAGCGGGGGCTTGACTCAAAATTTCAAAAGAAGTTTTAGCAAAATTTTTATTATATAGCAATAACTTTTTAATTTTTGAGAGGACAAAATAAAATGCGATGGGTGTATTAGGATATTTGAGGAATTATATGTGACGTTAATATTAAAAATAATTATTTTTACAATTTAACATAGAATATCTTTATTTTAGTGGTAGTTTTGATAAAAATTTGTGGTGTGAATATGTTTTTTCATAATAATAACAATAAACATCCCACATCTTTTTTTATTCCCCCGAAAAGAAAAGATAAAACGTGTGTCGGCCTTGTGGATGATTCAAGATAAGAAAGACCCGTTCACTTCGCTGATTTGAGTTTAGAATTTGAGTTTTATTACAGTAAAAAGTTCTCACAAATAATCACATCTAACTTTTTTATTACAGTAAAAAACTCTCATATAAAATTACATCTCAACTCGAATTCTAAACTCGAATCAGCAAAGTGAACGAGGCCGTCATTCACACACACACACAGATGTATGCATACATTTTTATATTATTTTCCTTCAAAGATATAAGAAAAGTAAAATAATGCAGAAGATGCAGACTGCAGAGCACGGCTTTGAAACTTTCAAGCATTAGATTTCCCCATTAAATTTCTTGGCATTTATTGTCCAAAAGTAGATGCTACATTTATATGTATTTTTTCATTCGTCCCACCATGATAATGGTACTTGTATATTTAATTAAAACTTTTTGTTTTTAACCAGTCTTTTGGTTTTGGTACTATTCTATCGCCAGCTCATACAGTTGAAACTGACACAGGAACACAAAACCAAAACTATTTACGTGTGTATATATATACACATTATATATCACCCCAACTTGACGTTATTACGTCATGAATCCATGATATGACCAGCCACAGGCTTCAACTTCAAGTCCTCAACGTCATCGTGTATTCACAACCATATCTTTTTTCTTACAATGTAGACAAATTTTCACTTTCGGTTCTCGAATACTACCAAACACACTTTGAAAAAAAAAATATATATATATATATATTTTAATCTTCTGACACGTATGTTTTCTTTGATTCCTTGCGTATAATGTGGAAAACGGATAATAGCTTTTGAGGTCCCGTTTAAGCAAGTGACGTTTCGGTCTTCAAATTGATTTCATGGACAAAAATCTTCACGAATCAAAATTTAAGTGACAAATGGTGGTTCAAATTAAAAGAAGTCTTGAGAAAATGTATCACAAATTTAAATAAAAATTACTAATAATCTAAATAAATATCAATAGTTAGATCTAATGGTTGATTTAACACCTCAGCTACTTGAAAGAACTAGGGCAAACTTCTCACCACAGAAACAATGGTGCACCCAATACCTTACCATCCAATTGGCGAGCCTTGTGCCATTGCGCACCACCATCCCCCTCCATCAAGGGAACCAATGCGCCCCCAGCCAATGCCTACACCAGCAACGAGCCCTCCCTTTTTTGAGGTTGGCAAGATCTTTCCTTTTTTTCCTAGCATCGCCACGACCGACCCTTTCTTGCTTTCTCCCCAATCTTACGATCCCCAAACCCCATGGTCCGATTCACTTTACTACCCCACCAGACCTTCCATCGCCGTGAGTTTGTGACCCACACTATACCAAGTCAATAACCTCGCTCCTACTATTCATGATGCTACATAGCACAACGATGTCAATCCGAACCCTTAGTGATGCATGCGAGCCCCCCACCTGCTATGCTAACATAGTTTGGTGACATTACCATCATGTGTCAACACAAATGACCCAAACAAAGACAAACAATTTGAGATTATTTTTTTGCGAAAAAAGTATATAATTTGTTATAATTTTGTACAAAACTGTTATATATGACATTCTAAATAATTAAGTATCATGATGATTTTTTATTTTATCTTTATTAATTGAATGGTAATTGTATATTCTTTAGTATTTTTTTTCCTTTGTTACTTAAAAGCTCAAATTTCTACTTTTAGCCTTTACGCTTAGATCGTTGCCTAGATCGTGTAAGACACATGTATGTCTTTCCGTTCATTTTCATTTACACCACAACTGCCACTTAATTTTAATTTACTAAAGATGTTTGTCTATAAAATTAGTTTATAGACTGGATTGCCACTTGCATAAAAGAATTAGGAACCACCAAGATTATTAACCTAAAAGAATTACTCAGTATGAACTATATATATATATATATAATTAAAAAAACCGACTCTTTATAGTCTAGTTTGATTCTAAACCATTAGGTTTAGGTTTCTCAAATTTCGCTTATTTCATCGATTCGAGTTTAAAATTTGAATTTTTTTATAATAAAAAATTATCAGAAATAATCACATCTAACTTTTTTATTACAGTAAAAAATTCTCACATAAAATTACATTTTAACTCGAATTAAAAATTTAAATTAATGAACTAAACGGCCTAGAAGCATATTGTTTTAACAGCTTGGAGAAATTTCAAATCGATTTAGATAGTTGACAAACCGTTATTATGTGAAACCAAACCGGTGGTCTAAAAACCGTTGAATTAATTTGGTCCGACAGTTTTAAACAAACCGTACCGCTAAGTAAAACCGTAGTTTTTGATTGTGGTGAATCTTCAAATTCCATCAAATTTCATGCCATAAATCCACATATGATTTTAATACGATAACAGTCTACTAAAACCCATGAGCACAATTTTTTTCTTTCATCTTATCACGTAATTCTAAATAAAAAATTATAAAAAATACAAAACTCTGGATATGTAAAAAAATAATAAAATCATTTCCTTGGTTGTACCGGAATGCTCATTCTAGGCAAGACGTGAACCGCCACGGCCTCGAGCCCAGACGGCGTCTCCACCTCCCAAATCCTCCCCGGCGATGGCGACACCACATCCACCACCACAATCCCTCTCCCTCCGCCACAAACGACACAAACCTTCCCTCCGCCGGCGGCGATCTGCTCCGCCCCTCTCAACCTCTCCGACTCCACAACCTTTTCCCAATCATCCCTCTCTTCATCGTACCTCCTCAAAACTCCCTTCGCCTCGTCCACCATGAACATCTCCTCCTCATCCATCGCCGCCGCCGGCCCCCTCCACCCTCCGATCATCCCCGCCGGCATCTCCTCCCACGCGTCCTTCTCGGCGTCGTAAACGACGCCATCCTTCATGGAGCCGCCCTGCACGTTCACCATGCAGAGCTTCCCTCTCCACCCGACGGCGTCAATGGCGTCTCTGCGGAACCTCCCGTTCTTCAGATCACTCACTCTCTCCCAAGCACTTTCTCTCTCTAGATCCCATCTCTCCACCGTCCTCGCGACTTCCTGGGAGAACTGCGACCCGATCCCGCTCGCCACGTAGGCCGAGCCACGGAGCGAGCCGGCGGCGCACCACCGGCGCGGCGCTGCGAGCGGGGGGCCGAAGGCCCACCGCCAGCCGCGCGTGTGGAACACGATGGGCCGGGGGATGGCTGGGGAGAAGTCGGCGGCGGTGGCGGCGAGGATGAGGAGGTCGCCCGCGACGGAGAGGGATTGGATGGGGAGGTTGCGGGAGACGAAGGAGGGGTGGCGGAGGAGGAGGCGGAGAGGGGGATCGGACGGCGGAGGAGGGAGGACGTGCCACGTGGAGGAGATCGGGTCGAAGGAGCGGAAATGAAGGGATTGGTGTGGGGAGGAGGTGGAGAAAAGGGCGTAGAGAGAGAGGAAAGGAGGGAAGGATGGAGTGTAGATGAGGCGGCGCCAGGAGCGGCAGACGGAGAAGAGAGAGAAAGGGGGGAGGAGAGAGAGACAGACTTGGGCTAGGTGGTTGGGAAGGCCTGGGAGGAGGGGATCGAAACCTTCGTTGTCGTTGTCGTTTTGGTGGTGGGGATTGAGTTTTATTCGTTTTGATGCGGGGGAGATGTCGTTGGACATAAAGAGATTCTGATGAGGAGTTTTTGGTTTTGGTATGGAGGAGAGGACAGGAGGATCGAGGCTCCTTTTTGTTGTTGTCCTTTTTTTTTTTTTTCTCTCTCTCTTTGGATTTGGGTTTTGCACTGCTTTGTTTTGCTTCCAACGGACGATAAGGTAGTTCTCATTGGCTGAAAAGTCTTCTGTATTTGCTTGCTATTTTAGAGTTGGACTTCCCAAAAATTAATAAATAATAAATGCCAAAAGTAGCTACTTATCTTTCCATCCATCTTTCTCCTTCTCTGTCTCTTTGCCTTTTCACAAATGTGTTGTTTAATTTATTGTGCCATTTAATTTATAAAGAAACTATTTATATGAGCTAGAGTAGAGGACGTTAGGACTTAGGATTTGACGGCTCTACTTGCTCGGATTTGCGGTAGGCCCCAGATTTCGAATGAAAGCAAGTAATGTTCGTGTACGCACTAAAATTTTATTTATTTTATCGATTTAAATTTTTATAGTAAAAAATTTTAAAAAAATATCACATTTAATTTTTTTTATTATAATAAAAAATTTTTTAAAAATATTACATCTCAATTTAAATTTACGAAATAAATGAGACTTAAAATTTTAAAATTTTTTTATTATAATAAAAAATTAAATTAAATTACTTTTTAAAATATTTTATTATAATAATATTTAAATTTTAAATTTAAATTAGTGAAATGAATCACGCCTCGTTCATTTCGATTATTCGAGTTTAGAATTTGAGTTGAGATGTGATTGTATGTGAGAGCTTTTTACTGTAGCAAAAAAGTTAGATGTGATTGTTTGTGAGAGCTTTTTACTGTAGCAAAACTCAAATTCTAAACTCGAATCAGCGAAACGAACGAGGCCACTTAAAAGAAACATGCGTCTCGTGCATTTAGAACGTGTACTACCAGAAGCTCGAGACTTACAACAAGCTGTACAAAAGCGATCTTCATCCTAAATGGAAGCCTTTTTTAATACGAAAAATAAAATGAGAGATTCTCTGGTGCTACGGTCCTTTTTGGATTGCGCGTAAGCCTGATTGGAATGAAACCGGCAGATTATATTCTTACAGTGAGCAGGTCAAAACCAATTCTGTTGAATTACAAACGAGTAATGTTATTTGTCCGGATTGGGTCATTCTATGTGTCTCATTATGTGGCTATACTAATGAGGCAACACTTAAAACGTGGGCCCCACTGACAATTTTTTTTTAGGGGAATTGAAGGGCTGCAGCAAACGAACAAGGAAGAAACAGAACAACATCGGAGGCAAGCGCATTCCCACGGCGGAGATGGAGAGCCCCCCCCTCAGCGGCGATGGAGAAGATCCCACCTCGGAGGAAGTACGATCCCACCCTTATTCGACGGCGGTGCGAAGCCTCCACCCCTCCATTATCAGTGAATTTTGGGGGATTTTTTTAGGCGATTAGATCAATGATTCAATGGATATTAGGTTATGGGTTAGTGTCTGGTGTAAGTTATGCTCTCATAGGGAGATATTTATCTGATGTATTTTGGTGTTGTTCAGATCTGATGATTTTATTGTGCTTGATCAATATAATAGGGGATATTGAATTGCTCTGCTTGGCCATTCAATCTCTTTTATTATTTTTCTATACAAAATATTTCTGGGTTGCCGCATGTATGTTCTTTTGTTTATATATATATATATATATATATATATTTTTTTTTTTTTTTTTTTTTTTAAAAAAAAGGGAGTTAAAAAATGAAACACTGAGAAAAGTGAGAATGAACCCAAGTGGTTTTGCAGTCTCTTCGGCCTCAAGAATCCCTCAGCCTCTTCTTCGGCAAAACTGCCGGAGGAGAACCGGAGATGGAACTTCATGAAGTCCTACAGAGAAAATGATCCAAACTTTCCTCCAGTTACCCCTACCGACGACCAAGCTGCTACTAGAGCCTCCAACGACGAACTTCCTACAGAAATCCCGTCACTTCACCGCCGACCACCCGAAGCACGACATCTCCTAGCCGCCGCAACCGCCGCGGTCGCCGGAGTTATAAAATTTTAAAATAAATACAATTAAAAAGTATAGAAAAGAAAATACCCAATTTTTTCTTTTTTAAAGAAGAAAAGACCCATTTTTGAATTTGTTTTACTGAGACACAAAAACTTATTTAATTGTTTTCTCACGTGTAATGTTTTTAAAGAAACACGTCACTTCAGAGTTTCATCATCCACGTTCACTCGGGTTCTCTCCCGATTGGCATTGAAATCCCTAGCAACTCCGAGACCGAGCGGCGCATCTGAAGCGGAAGAGGACGCTGGTTTTGAAGAGCCAGACGCCATGGAAGTAATCGGTGGAGCGCCGGTTACTTCGGCCACGACGAGCGACAACCGGCTTACACGAATCCTCGGCGCCGCCCCGACTGAAACCCGTGTTTGGAATCAGTTTGGAACCAATCGTTTCTTTTTTTTTTTTTCACGTTTTTCGAGAAAAAAAAAGAGATTGAGGGGAAAACGTGTTTGGAGGAAAAAGGGAAAGAAAATTGAAAACAATTTTATTTTTTAATTTAGTGTAAAATCACGTAAAAAATGAAAATAATTTAAAGTTATTTTTTATTTTTTTAGATAAGTGCCTTTTTTGTATATGTGAGTAAAAATTATATAATTAAACAGAATTTTAGTTTTTTTTAAATTAAAAATAATCTCTTAATAAAATTACTAAACACATTTTTAAAAATAATTTTTATTTGACATTAAAAACGTTTTTATTTTTAATTTTATACAAAAAAATAAAATCATTTTGAAATTAATTTCAAACACACCAGACGTGTTCCCTAAAAAGGCCAAGATTGCTGCTACGTATAAAAAGATGGTCGGTTGACGTGGACTTTTGTTACTTCATCTCATTTTAGACAGCTAGGCGCCACGCGGACATCTGAGCAGTTATTTTTGGGATAATATCGCTTGATTCCCCGCTGCGACAAGCACCATTACACGGTGGGCCAAGATGAAATACCCATTCACGATTTAGGCCTTGTTCATTTCACCGATTCGAGTTTTCAGTTTTAGGTTTCTACAGTAAAAAACTCTCAGAAAATGTTACATCTAACTTTTTTTGCTATAGTGAAAAGCTCTCAAAAAATGTCACATCTCAACTTGAATTGAAAACTCGAATCTGTGAAGTGAACGAGACTTTAGTCAATGTGCTTTTTACACGTCCTACTCATATTGCCAAACGGACTACAGCACCAGAGAATGACCCAATTAAAATAAAGAAAAAATCGAATGAAGAATCAATTTGTTAAAAATTCTACCTTGCAATGGCCTCCCTCTCCAATTTGTTAAAAATTCTACCTTGCACGAAAATTCCTCGACTTGTGTGGATTTAAGTTTTCCACTTAATATTGGAGGGATAAAAATTGATTGTGTCCCATAATAAGTTGTATCCATTTTTTTTTTCTTTTTTACTGTTGGAATTTTTAATCCTATGTGGCACAAATATTTTTATATGGCATTTTTAATTGACATGGGATTTGTCCATTTTTGTTGTCATCTTTGTATCAAATTTACTTAATAATGTGTTGCTATTTTTTTACATATTGTTTTCTTATTTTATTGATTGATTTTCCTTGATTTATTTCCATAAATAGCCCAATTTGATTGGATATTCACAGATTTTATTGGTTGGCAACACAGGTTGACTTCTGGACTAATATTCAGATTCTTTGCAGGACAAAATTACCATTTATATGAGATAATATTTTAATTTACTGATCACAAATTTAGCTCATTCATTTTGGCAATTTCTTAAAATTTCGGGTATGGTGGATTTGGTTATTATACAAAATTGAGTCAAGGTTCATTTAGAATTAATTCCATCATTGACTATGATTTCTAGACATTCCTTTCAGGATTTATCTGACCAATTTCAGATCGGATTAATATTGTGATTGAATATATTTTTGTTAACAAATCACAAGTTGACTGTCCAAATTGTTTTGACAGCTACATATATGTAATTATGTTCACACAATGATAGCTAGATCCTTTGAAGAAGATTGCATATGCAATTCAATGAGAAGATTGCAACCAAATCTCAACCCTGATCCAGTGGAGAGATCCTAGGTCTCTCTCATATCTAGGTTCATTATTTAAGGAGGTCTCCTTGTGACCTTCATGGTTAGAGAGCAAAAAATGAAAATTGGAGCGTCCCTTTTTGTGAGAAGAAAAATTGAGTGTTCTCATGTGTGCTTAAGTGTGAGAGAAAACCACAGCTTATCTTAAGGCTAATCATATTGTTTGGAGTAGGTCAGGAGGACTGAAAGTGAGCAGTAGACTCGGAGTGAGGCGAGGAGACTGAAGGCGAATCAAGAAAGAGTCACCACGCGTTATTAGGAGTTGGTTTACATTCGGGAGCTTTCTTGTAAAGCCAAGCTTTGTAACTGTATTGATGATAGTTAATTCCTTCTTTTGTACTGGTGTGTTCAGCACACGTGGTTTTTTTCCCGAAAGGGTTTTTAGCCACGTTAAATAACCATATTATGGTGTCTTTATTATTCCGCATTTACTTTCACATAGCAATTTTGGTTTCTGTTTTAATAGAGTTGAAGTATCCGTTCTATGCGAACAGAACGTTGATTGTTAATCTGTCTGGTCTAACACCTATCAAACAATCCACTTTATTATTTCTCCCTAAATAATCTCACCACCCACTTTCTTTCTTCCTTCCTTCTTTCCATCATGCGAGACCGAGGGAAAAATAACTTTTTTACGCTAAATGAATAGTAAATAATTAGTAAAATAGTCATTTAGCCTATTACATATTTTCTTTCCTTCCATCATTCCAAAAAACATAAAGGAAAATCAATCTCTTATAAAGGTCTAGATAGGATAAGTTGTGCAGTTTCAGATCGTCTGTGGATGGTTGTATGTGATCATTTATAAGAAAAGACATTACCTCGTAATAATATTAGGCCTTTTGGGGTGAAACCCAAAAGTAAAAACCGTGCAAACTAAGGTCCATAACGGACAATATCATACCAAGTACAAGAAAATAGTCATTTACCATATTACATATTTTCTTTCTTCCCATCATACCAAACAACATAAAGGAAAAATAACTTTTTTCTTTTTCTTCATATTTTCTTTCTTCTTATTATGTTTTTTTTTCACTCTTTTTTTCCTCTTACCAAATAGAGTGTGAGTACCCATCTCTACAAAAATATGTAAAAAGGAAAAAAGAAAAAAGAAAATAAAAGTAGTAACAAAAAAAAAAGGCCAACAAGTTAGAGCAAGGAAGGAAAACCTTTCGTACCTCTCTCAT